CATGATAAAAAGTATAAAAGCGTATCTATTTTCCTTAAACTACAATTTTGAAGATAATATAGAATGCTAACTCCATATTTTGTTAATGGCTATGTTCACTAGAGACAACTCTGACATTTCTTATTGGAGAAGACATATAGATAGAATGTTTCTTCTTTGAACCAATTAGTACTTTCAAAGTTTATTGGATTTTTTTTACCTTTATGGAATATTAAAAATTATAGGAACTCAAAAGAGACTTAGGTAGAGCTTTTAATAAACAATATTTTTAAAAGTTAACATTAACATCTATATTCTAGTGAAGAGAAGTAAGTAGAATGATCTTGAGGAGCAAAAGTCTCAATACATGTACTTCTTACCTCAGAATACACTTTATTCCATCTGGCTAATGATCATCATTAGTAGTAGTAATTTGTATGGTTCTTCATTAGTCACTTGAATTGCTCATGTACAGTTTTGTTCATCATTTTTTCCTTCATATGTCTTTGCTACATTAGTTATTCTTTATTTACATGGAATCCCAAACTAAGAACAGGAAAATGAGAGATGATATTTCCCTATAACTTTGCCCTTCTTAAAGCCTTAAAACTATCTGACCTGGGTTACATTATGTTGGTTTTCAGAATTTAATGCAACTTCTAAAGTCAGTTAGGCAATGAAACTATGTTAATAGGCAATCCTCCAAAGAAGCTTATGTGGTCAAGCAAATTGGAGAAATGCTCTGTATTCTATAGATTCAAGATTAATATATTAAAGGCTCTGAAGAAGAAATCATATTAATTTTGTTCTTCAAATTTACATGGCTACAAAATGTTTTTTTGCACATGGTTGTTCAAGAAACAACGTGCTTTCGTGGATCTTAAAATAGTAAAAGTCAATTGGACTTCTTTGTTTTATTCTCCCCAAAATTGTCTTTATCAGCTATAGTTGGGGGTAAATATTTCTCAGTAACTGATGGAGTCTTGCACCTCTTATTTTATCTTCTTGATTAATTCATTATGTTCTCTCCTCCACTGTTATTTCTCTGGCACTAGCTCTAGCAGGGTCACCCTCCCTCTCAAATTTATCATTGGTCAACATAAGTGATTCCAAATGTGGCTGATGATCAGAATTGTTAGATCTTTTGAAAAACAAAACAAAACAATCAAACAAAAAACAGGTCTGGGGCCACCCCCTCCCTCAGATTCTGAGTCAGTAAGAGTAGTGTGAAAGACTGTTTTACAAAGCTCCCAAAATAAGTCTGAATGTAAACCAGGATGATGAACAACTAGTCTGGCTCCAAATTTCACTGGCCATAAAGAGAAATGTATTTGAAAAGAAATGCTCCTCAGGCACCTGGGTGGTTTACTCCATTAAGCGTCTGACTTGATTTTGGCTCAGGTCCTTATCTCAGGGTTGTGCCTTTGAGCCCCACATTGGGTTCTGTGCTGGACATGGAGCCTGTTTAAGATTCTGTCTCTCGGGGATCCCTGGGTGGTGCAGCGGCTTGGCGCCTGCCTTTGGCCCAGGGCGCGATCCTGGAGACCCGGGATCGAATCCCACGTCAGGCTCCCGGTGCGTGGAGCCTGCTTCTCCCTCTGCCTATGTCTCTGCCTCTCTCTCTCTCTCTGTGACTATCATAAATAAATAAAAATTTAAAAAATATAAAAAAAAAGATTCTGTCTCTCCCTCTTCCTCAGCTTCCTCACCCCCTAAAAAAAGAAGAAAAGTTCTTCATAAGGAAAGAAAAGAATTAACAACTAAATGCAATGATCCAGGATTATATCCTTGAAAGAGAAAGGAGAGATGTGGGCTATGAAGAACCCTAATGGGCCAATTGATGAATTCTGAACAGGGAATTATGTAATAATATTTTATTGTTTATTTATTTATTTAAGTAAACTATACCTAACATGGGACTTGAACTCATGAGCCTGAGATCTGGAGTCACACGCTCTAATGACAGAGCCAGCCAGGCACGGTTTTTACAATAGTATATAATATATGAACTGTGGATTAGATAATATTATTTTGTTTTGTTAAATTTTCTGATTTTGAGACTCAGATCACACACTGAAGTATTTAAGGATGAAGGGGCGTGATGTTTCTAGTGTATTTTCAAATGTTTGAAGGAAAATATGCATATATGTATAAATATAGAGAGAAATAAAGGGGAATGATAAAGTTAATTGGGCAACACAAATAACTGGTGATTTTAGGGTATGTTGTAAAGGAGTTTCTTATACTATTCTAGCAAATTCTCATAATTTTGAAATTATATCAAAATGATTTTTTACAGTTTCACTGTAGGTAAAACTAAATGTTTCAAATTTATCACCAAAAATGTAATGATGGCCTATAATCTGATTCAGGGTAATCAAAATGATAGATGTTTTAAAAAATGGTTTGGAATCTCTTATGCCAACTGAAAAATTAAAAAGTGAGTTTTTAGATATAAATCTCTTTATGGAGGGTAATTATGTGCTTGAGAATTGAACAATATTGGTTAAACTAATTAGAAATATTCAGTGACATAAAGATTATTTCTTTTTTGACAAAATAAACCAAGAAAACATATAAAATACTCTTTTCCAAAAATCCATGAGGAGATCATAAGTTAGACATGTAATGAAATAAGCATGTGATTTGAAATCAGAAGACGCAAATTCAAACTTATTTCCTACAAGTATGGGGCTTTGGGAGAGTCAACTAACCTTCCTGAGCAACAGTTTCCTAATCTGTACAAAACATTTACTTATAATATAGGCCTCATTAATGAGGAAAAAAAGTAAAAAAAAAAAATGACAACACACTGCCTCATGTGGAGCAAACAGAAATTCTGTCAAGCATAATATCTTAGCCTTGTATAAATAATGTTCTAACCATCTCACACATACTAGTTAGTTCGTAAGTTGTTGGACCTGACAAGAACTTCTTCTAAACAGTGAGGTGAAAAATGAGGTATGGGAAGTGTTTCCTGATGACGGGGAAAGTGTGAGAGTTGAATAGACACAGATGAAAGAAGCTCTGATTTATAGGATCATCCTACCAAAGAATTATCGATGTGGACTCCAGATATCTGATCCAAATAAAGAAAGGAAAACCTAATCATCTTTTTGTGCCATGACCCTCTCCTCTTTGGATTTTTTAATCTCATTCTTTGAGATTAATTTGGAGCCATATTTCAGATTATTTATTTTGTAAAATTATGTAAATGTTATTTTTTCTGACTACTTATGCATCTGAAACCATTAATGACTTTTACACAAGAAATACAAATTGTTTAGATGTGAAAACCGTGTATTTATTTTGTAAAATTATGTAAATGTTATTTTTCTGACTACTTATGCATCTGAAACCATTAATGACTTTTACACAAGAAATACAAATTGTTTAGATGTGAAAACCGTAGATCACCATGTTATCCTTTCAAAGTTCTTAGGTATTTTTCACTGTTTTACAATATTTGCAGGGACAATATCTAAAGCTATCTAGATACATTTTTCCTTTGTGAATAATCCCTTCTTTTCCCTTTCCACTTATTTGGATACTTGACAGTTTGTTTTCATTTTATTTTCTAATTTTAATTGCAGTGTAGTTAACCTACAGTGTTATATTACCTTCAGGTGTACAAGACAGTGATTCAACAGTTTTATACATTATTCAGTGCTCATCATGATAAATATACTCTTTAATCTCCATCACCTACTTTACCTATCCTCCCACTTAACTTCTTTCTGGTAACCATCAGTTTATTCTCTATAGTTGAGAGTCTGTTTCTTGGTTTGCCTCTCTCTCTCTCTTTTTTTTCCTTTGTTTGTTTATTTTGTTTTTTAAATTCCACATGAGTGAAATCATATACTTGTCTTTCTCTGACTTATTTTGCTTAGCATTATACTCTCTAGCTCCATCTATGTCATTGCAAATGCCAAGATTCCATTCTTTTTTATGGTTGAATAATATTTCATTACATGTATATGTGTATGTGTGTATATATACATATATATATCCATTCACCTATCCATATGTATATATATCTTCCTTATCCATTCATCTATCACTGGACACTTGGGCTGCTTCTATAATTTGGCAATTGTAAATAATGCTGTCATAAACATAAGGGTGCATGTATTCTTATTAATTAGTGTTCTTGTATTCTTAGGATAAATATCCAGTAGTGCATTTACTGATCAGAGGGTAGCTCTATTTTTAACTTTTTAAGGAAACTCCATACTGTTTCCCACAGTGCTTGCGCCAGTTTGTATTCTCCCTAACAGTGCACACGGATTCCTTTTTCTCCACATCCTCGCCAACTCTTGTTTCTTGTGGTTTTGTTTTTTAGCCATTCTGACAGGTGTGCGGTGATATCTCACTGTAGTTTTGACTTACCTTTCCCTGATCAGTGATGTTGAACATCTTCTCATGTGTCTTTTGACCACCTGTATGTAAATGTCTGTTCATGTCTTCTGCCCATTTTTAATTGGATTATTTGTTTTAGGGGTGTTGAATTTGTATAAATTATTTATGTATTTTGGATACTACCCTTTATCTGCTATGTCATTTGCCGATACCTTCTCCCATTCAGTAGGTTATCATTTATATTTGTTGTTTCCTTTGCTATGCAGAAGCTTTTTGCTCGGGATCCCTGGGTGGCGCAGCGGTTTAGCGCCTGCCTTTGGCCCAGGGCGTGATCCTGGAGACCCGGGATCGAATCCCACGTCGGGCTCCCGGTGCATGGGGCCTGCTTCTCCCTCTGCCTATGTCTCTGCACCTCTCTCTCTCTGTGTGTGTGACTATCATAAATAAGTAAAAAATTTAAAAAAAAGTCCTTTAAAAAAAAAAAAGAAGAAGCTTTTTGCTCTAATGTAGTCCTAATAGTTTATTTTTGCTTTTGTTTCCTTTGCCTCAGGAAACATATCTAGAAAAATGTCTCCATGGCCCATGTCAAAGAAATTACTGTCTGTGCTTTCTTCTAGGATTGTTATGGTGTCTCACATTTTGTTTTTGTTTTTGTTTTCATTTTTAATATGGAGCACTTCATAAATTTGGATGTCATCCTTATTCTGGGGCATGATAATCTTCTCTTACCATTCTGATTTTAGTATATATGCTGCTGAAGTGAGCCACATTTAGGTCTTTAATCTATTTTGAGCTTATTTTTGTGTGCGGCCTAAGAAAGTGGTCCAGTTTCATTCTTTTGCATGTAGCCATCCAGTTTTTCCAATACCTTTTGTTGAAGAGCCTTTTCCCCATTGCATATTCTTGCCTCTTTTGTTGAAGATTAATTGACCATATAATCGTGGGCTTGTTTGTGCATTTTCTATCTTATTCTATTGACCTAGGTGTCTATTTTTGTGCCAGTACCATACTGTTTTGATTATTATAGCTTTGAGGTATAACTTGAATCTGAAATTGTGGTACTTCCAGCTTTGTTTTTCTTTTAAGGTTGTTTTGTCTATTCAGTGTCTTCTGTGGTTCCATACAATGTTATCATTATTTTTTTCTAATTCTGTGAAAAATGTTGTTGGTTATTTTGATAGAGATTGCACTGAATGTGTAGATTGCTTTGGGTCATATGGACATTTTAACAATATTTGTTCTTCCAATCCATGAACATGGAATATCTTCCCATTTGCTTATGTCATCTTTAATTTCTTTCACTGGTGTTGTATAATTTTCAGAGTATGGGTATTTGACAGTTTTTAAATGATTGGTTATTCACCTTGGGATTCAAAATGTTTTCAATCTGAGTTTTTTAGGTTTCACTTTTTATTTGTCTTGAATTTAGTAATGTCACTCACATCTGCTTATTCATGTCAGTCAGTTAGATTTTTGTCTATCATATTTGTATTTACTGCTGCTATGTCATGTTTTAGTTCCTTCTTTAGGAACACAAATTAGTCACATATTAAAGCTCCCTTTAAGGTCTTACTATCATGTTCTCTTTCATACTTTTAATTTCTTTACCTTCTTCTTGTACATTCTAAGAGAGCTTCTTAAGTCCATCATCCACATTACTGATTCAGGCTTCTGTTTTACTATTACTAGAGTTCAGTATCCTCAGATAAATATGGGCTTAAGTTTTTCTGTTATACATTTAGTTTTATTGAAATATTTCTTTAGCTTTTCTATCTCTCTTTTGTAATTCATTGAATTCTTTACTCCCTGCTAGTCCTGCCTGATGGAGGTTCATTCTTCTTGCATTTTATTGAGAATAGTAAACAAGTTCCAGAGTTTTCTCTGGAGTTTTGTTAATTTTAGAAATATACTCTTCCCCTGAGTCTTCAAAGTGTTATGCCACAGTAGGTTTTTGTAGTTATTTATTGTTCTGTTTTGGTTTTTTTTCTCTCCTCTTCCAAATTATTAAATGGGGCACCTCTTGAATTCATTGATTCTCAGAATATAGGATGGTTCAATTACCCTAAGCCACATTCTGATAAATCAATGACAACAGAATCTATTCTCAGTATCACACTTAGAAAGTTGGTGTGTCCAGATTGCAATATAATTTTCAGTTTTTAGCGAGTATTTACTCTACTGAGGTAGTGATTTCTCTTTTATTTCCTGCCTAGTCCTCTGAAACTCTGAGATGTAATAGACAGCAACCTGAGTCCCTCCACCCACTGTATCCAGAATATTTCTGTCACTGTCTTCAGAGCTTTGCTTTTGAAGAAAACAGCAGCCAATATGTAATGAGCAACCAGAGGTCAACTCCATAGCTCTTGCCCAGCTGTTTCTGAAACACGTTTTTTTCTGAATGATGGGAAAGATGGCAATTGGCAAGGTGGGGAAGGTCTGAGAATAACCTTTAAATACCTCAAATATCAACACATGAGTCATGTTTTTCATTGCTTGGTATATACAGTGGATATAGACCCATAGGAATAACACAATGAAACTATAAAGTGTCTTCCTACCTTGTTCAGGTGTTCTCTTTGAGATGAAGCCTGAAAACACAAGAAAATTGACCTACCATTGGTTAGTGAAGTTCTTCCCAGATTATATCCTTACATTTTTTGAGATATGATTCCATGTTTTGCCCTTTTAGTGTTTTCTTAAGTAGCTAAAGACAAATTAGCAAAATTACATATTTTGGGACTATTTTGAATAAGTTACTTGAGATGTTTTTTTCAGTACTAATAGCCTCCTAAAGGTTTTTAAGGCTTTTACCTGATAGTAATAGCTAATAAACATCATCTGGTGAACATAAGTGATACCATAAACCTTCCAAAAATCTTAGTGTTTTTATACATCACAAGATACTGCTGTGATTCTAGTTTGCATTGATATTCTGCTGACCTCCAGTTTTTGTATCCATCATTACTTGTCTCACAAAGCTAGCAATTTTAAGTCATGATAATTTCATTTAGGTCAGCTATCCTTTGAGTATATTTATTTATTATTCTTCCATTGAGTTATTCATGCAATAAACATTCATTAAGTTGTTATTATATGCTAGACACTGTGAAAGAACCTGCAGATAACGCCTCCAAGAACTTATGATGTAATCATGAAGACAAATGACAAAACAAATCTTTGCACCATGCTGTAATAAATCTGAAGGTAATCATGGTGTGACAATATCTAAATAGTAGTACCAAGTAACATCTGATTTTAAGATGCACAGGTTGTTACTTTTATCAACAACTTAGATTCAAAATTTCAATCTAAACATTGTATTCAGAACTGTGGCTTTTTTGTTTAATTCAAATCATCTTAATCAGCATTTAACAAATGTCTATTGTGAGCAAGATTCTACACTCTCTATCATATAGAATGCAAAACTAATTAGGTTAAAGCTTGAATCCTCAAAGTTTTTAGCCTAACCATGTCTTAGTCTTTTTGAGTTGCTATAGCAAAATATCACAGAGGTAGCTTATAAACAACAGGAGTTCAGAAGTTCTGGGGGCTGGCAGTCCAACATCAAGGTACCAGCATGGTCACATTTTGGTGAGGACCCTCTTCCCGAAACATGGCTGGTATGTTCGTATAGGGCAAGGGATCTCTGCAGAGTCTCTCTTATAAGAATGCCAATTCCATTCATGAGGATTTATGAGGGCTCCATCCTCATGACCTCATGAAATGTTAGGATTTCAACATTTTGATGGGACACTAACATTTAGAACATAGGAACTGGGGAATGCAGACTAACTATAATTAACTTTCAATAAAGCACACGAAGTGCTATTGAAGTACAGTAGCAGAGAAGATTACAGTAAGAATGAACCTTCATTAAAGAGTAAAAATATTCAGTTGGGCCATATTGAATATGGTAATAATCAGTACCATTTATTGAGAAATTTCTATATTGCTAGTTATTATAGCTTATAATGATTCCTGTACATTATCTCTAATCTTAGAAAATGAAAATATTTTTAACTTCCCATTATCTATATCAGTTCAGAAGGTCTATAAGAAATGGAATGACATTTTTTTGAAACTTTGCTTGAAAATCTTCACGCCCATTTCTTGGGAAGAGGGAAGAATAGTGGGAGACATTAGATAATTCAGTACTAAGAGAAAGACAAGAAGGACCATAATCTGTATTAAATTTAGCTCCTTTGGCGGATTGTACTGCCTATCTACTTGGCTCACAGCCACAAGTAGACATAAACTTTCCAACCAGTATGCAGACTCATGAAAAAATAGTTTGAGGATTATAAATTAAATGCCATCCTCTCCTGAATTGTATACATCTTACCTCTGAAAGAATCTATCCAAGATAAAAACATATTAAATTTGTCTCTGGGGATCCCTGGGTGGCGCAGCGGTTTGGCGCCCGCCTTTGGCCCAGGGCGCGATCCTGGAGACCCAGGATCGAATCCCATGTCGGGCTCCCGGTGCATGGAGCCTGCTTCTCCCTCTGCCTGTGTCTCTGCCTCTCTCTCTCTCATTCTGTGTGACTATCATGAATGAAAAGGAAAAAAAAAATTAAAAAAAAATTTGTCTCTGAAATATAGAGGTGGCAAGTGTTTCCCATGTAAGAATTAAATATAACTTAAAAAAAAGACTAAAAACAAACAAAAATCTCTCAATCAAATTGAAGAGGTACTAACAAAGGCCAGATTTGTAGTTGGCTCAGAATCCTAAAGGACACTATCATTTTAAAGCCTCAGATAAATTTTCTCTTAGCAGTGGATGATAATTCTGTTCAATCTGTGGAAAACTGAAACAGAAATGTGCAATTGGGAGGAGAAATTTGACCTAGGATAGAAACTTACAAAACTTGTAGGTAGGACAGAGGGTTGATCCCTTAGTTTGTGACTGCATAAGAACAAGCCTTTTGTGGTATCTACATAAGTAAAGAATTAGCAAATATTTTGCAAGATCACTTAGAACATTGACAACATTCAAAAGTTTAGTAATGTCCTGCAGTGTAATTTAAGAGGAGACCAAATTGCTCTTATGGACTGATTCAGAAGAAACACATCAAGTCTGTGTTTCTGTTCAGGTTTGTTTGTTTTTTCTTTATAAACTGAAGTGAAGTATTGCCTATACAATAACATTTCTCAGGTTTATTACCCACTTCAGGTCACTCTGAGTGAAAGCTCATTTCCATTTTCTTCTAAAGGTACCTCTTGTCCTTTTTTAAAAAAAAAATGTTTTCCATGGAAAAAATCATCAATGGATTAAAGCTTGGTGTGGCTGTTTAATAGTTAAATAAATTGGGAGAGGACATTTAAAATATTACAGTTTCGCCCCAGCTGGGGCGAAATGTTGGAGGAACATTAAAATGGAGTGTACTACTTTGAGAAGTAATTTGCTTTAAAAATGATAAAAATTTTCTTTCAAATGATTACTAACAACATGATATTTATATTGTTTTAAATTCTACTGAAAATGACTTCTGATAAATTATAAAAATAATCTTGGAGGCTTCTCCTGGTTTAATCTTTTCATCATATTGCGATATTGAAAATTGGGCTATTTGGTTTCACTTTCTACTTCCTTTGAATTAGGAGGCTGTTTAGCCATTTCAAATCTATATGAGAACTGCTAACACCATTAATCTATTTAAGGATTATTCTTCCCTCCAATTTGTTTACAAAACATTAAAATAAAATAAAACCTATTGTAAAGCTCCTCTGTTCGTATCAGGGTCTATTTAGGTTCTAAATTTACTAAT